GCTTTTGTTTATACCCCAAAGGTGACACTGGCACTTCATGTGGGTGAGAAAAAGATCAAGTGACTGATGCACCGGCCTCTCGTTCATTCATTCGTTTTCTTGGTCAAATCCACCGCCTTTCAACCAAAAGGTTCAGACCATTTAAAATGCTGGAGCTGGTGTCTTAACTTGGATGCCACATTCAGAACAAACTTCACTTAGATCCCATCTCTCAGATCAGCTGGTTCTCCAGAGGCCCAATGCAATAAAAGTAGCTGCGGCCATTGAGTGCGTCCAGAACTCGCATTTCACTTTTCATTGAACTGAAATACTAAAATCACTTCAAATCAGGCAAGCATTCTTACTAGACCTCGTGTTCTGCATTTGATGATTTTTTACTTGCAAATTTGCATGAATTTCACCCAATGCCAGCTCGGGAAATCAAGATAAAGCAAATTAATCTGGCTGATTGGATGTTAAAACAAAAATGTGGCAAAGCCAGACCAGCAGGTGGAAGTATTGAGCATAATGAGATTTTTCATTTGCAGGGTTTGAATTTTATTTTTAAATTTTTTCCTGCTGCAATACAGAAACATTTATCCTTCTGACCTTTGTCATATGACTTAAATGGTGTGCATTGAGCGCAGGAGGTCAGACTAACCAAAAAATACAAAAACAAAACACCAGCACTGAATGAATGCAAAGAAAGAAACAATCAGTGACTGAGCTGTCTTTGTGTTTTACTGTTTTATTATATTATTGTCATAGTAATTATTGTCAAGAGAGATTAACGGCAGACGGGCATAAACATTTCCTTTGAATCAAAACACGCTGCAGAACTGTTACTTTTGAACAATGTGTGAACAAGTCTAATGCAGTAATCTCAAAACAAATGAAGCCTCTTCTTTAGGTGTATTGAGGCCTGAAACGCTTTTAATTGTGACTTTGCTTTGTGTGGTGACTGTTTGACTGCTGCTTGACCAGTCCAGAATGGTAATTTTCGGGCTGCTAGGTGGTTTTTCCTGTTTGTAGGGGTTCAGTGTTTCACACACTGAAGCTGTCGATGTTTGGTTTGAAGGTTCTGTTGTAACAGAGTGCCACCATTCATCGTAGTGACTCTCAGAATCCGGTCCCATTGCTGGACCACAGAATGTAAAGTCTCTCTTCTTGCCGGCTTTATTTACACACACATATATAGAGAAATGTATTTGTCTTTGTCCTTGTTTGTCGTCTTTCAGTTATCTTTGGACTGGCAGACATCAGACTTCCTTGGCCTTTGTATATGAGGCTTAAGAATTTATTTCCCCCTCCTAGCATCCTGTTGTGTCCTTTTTAATGTCGATTAACCGTTTGTTTTTTGTAAGAAAAGCATATGCTTTGTTCCAGTTGGATGTATTGACATTTGAAATTTTATGTTTTGGACAGAATACAGAGCAGACACTGGTAATAAACATATAAATCTCTGATTCTTCTGTTTTTGAGTTTGTTCTTGTGATGAGAGAAATGTTCAGATTTTTATAAAACCTCATATTAAAATCTTTAATATGATTAAAAGCTCTCTGTGATTGTTAATGGTAAAGTTTATCTAAATCATAGATTGCAGACTGATGTAAAATTCATGTTATGTAAGGTGAAGTTTGAGCTTGTTTCATGTGCAGTTTCATCATCCTCTACTATTTAGTTCAAGCTCACATTTGATACCACATTTAAAATATCACACTGAAACTAAATGTATGCAGGTCTGGATTACAGACTGCCAGGGACCTCCAAACCTCCGTCCCGAGGCCAAAAGAAGAAGAACCCATAGGTTATAGCACCCATTTGCTGCCAAAAGGCTTTGAAATTAAGTTTTTGTTTCGTGCCCCGCTGAATTTTAGATATGTATTTCACGCATAAGTACTTCAAATGACCAGTGGAGGGCGCTTCAGGATCAGTAACTCACTTCTTGGCTTTAATTCCAATAGTTTTTTTTTTCCAAAAAGCAAACTAAAACTTTTTTTATAACTTGTCTGAACTCGTGTGATTGGAATCTAATATTCAAATAACTGTGATTGTTCAAACTTGTGCTCCATTTAAGGAAACCCATCCTTATGCTAGCATGTTCACAGTGCAAAAAAAAATCCATAGGCCTCTTAAACCACATCTGTATCTGTCTGTCAGATGCTCTAGTCATGACAGGAGTCTTCAGCTGTAATGTTTTCTCTTGTGTACGTGCTTGAGTGTGTGTCAGCACAGTACAGCTGGTACCCAGGCATTTCCTGTAGCATTACCTCGCCCAAATAACAAAACCTCACAGCTTCAAATAAATCATTTTGAGCACATTTGCAGTCTTATGATCTCACACGGCCTGTTGCTGTGATAAACAAGGGATTTTTTGAATGTTTTTACGACTCCGATACCATAATATGCTTTCATCTGTACTTACTGTACGTACAGTATGAGAAACACTTCAAAACCACTTTGTGCTAGTTTTAAACAGGATTCAGTTTGAACAAATTACGTTTTATCTGACGCTACTGGTCTGAGGCGACTGGTTTGTGGTTGTTTTAACCTGTTTTTACTACACTGGTTTGTGTCGGTTTCTACTGGTCTGAGAAGGTCCATAGTCAGTTTCATGTGCCTACACAGACTCTTGGAATGTATCAATTAGAGGTGATGTATGTAACATCTGCCAAGCTGTTCATCCCATTTCCTGTGACATAAACTATACGTAACATTATAGTATGTCCTTCCCTCCTTCAACTGTTCACTTGTTTTAGTGTAACTCATTTCTCTCTCTCTCTGTCTCTGTCTTTCAGGGTGATTCAGCAGTTTGGAATCACGTTTCAGGCTACGGGGAGCAGTTATTAACCGTTTTTTATTTCCTTGTTGAAAATGAATTCAGATTAGCTCGATTTGAGACTATAAATGTATTTCTGAAAAACATATTTCATCACATATTAATAAAAAAAACAAAACAGTGCCATTCTTCAAATGCCTACGCGTAAAAAAAGTGCTGAAATGAAATGTCATTGTAAATCCTATGATAAGACTGATTCATCTGATGCTGACACACACATGCTTACATTTCCTATGATCAAAATAATGCTGCAAATGAAGTATACACTCATTAGGATTGTATTTAAATGAGCTGGGGTGTAAACCAACAGGAAACTATCATTTAGCATAAAGGATTGGACTAGATGAGAAGTGTCATCACAGGAATGATTGGTAGCCTATTGTTCCAGAAAGCTCAGCAGATGCTAAAGACTGAAGTGTTTGTAAACTTGTCTGACAGTCTAACTGTGTAATCACATTCTATTGTGGGTTAAACTTACAGCAGAAGTGAGTGTGTTCTTAAGTATGCGTTTGTGTGCACGCATGCAGTTCACACTATTCAGGAATGAGTGTGTGTGTATGTGTGTGAGAGTGAGTCAGAGCACTCCCTAACACTCGTGGTACTTTGACGTAAAACAGACAAGACAGGACAGGCTGATCCAACTACTTGGGAAAAACACTGAGGTGGGCGGGGCTTAGTACAGGAAGTGCACTTAAAAAGACAGCGAACACGAAACTCTTGCTGGGGCTTGGGGTCAGTTATGGGTTCAGGTATCAAGCAGCTGCTGCTTATTATTTCTGGCATTTAAGAATGCTGACAACAAACACAACATCTATGAAACTCTATTTGGTCTGTATATATAGAGTTAAATGATTACTTGGACTGGATAAGGGGGAGTTTTGGCATGTGCATAGTGTGTGTGTTACAACATAACTGAGAAATGGTATTGGTTTGCTCCTTCAAAAAAACAAACCTCCTTTTGTCCTCTCTCCTCCCATTTCCGTTGCTTTTGGAATATTTCCTGGAAGCAAGAGATTTAGGAAACTCCAGAAAGAAAAAAAAGTGACTCAGTCTTGATCAATGTCAAACCAAAGATGTTTAAGCAAATTCTTAGTCTGAAAACATTTAACACAGTAAAAAATCTAATTTAGAAAAACTAATAAACAAAACAATTACTGTCAGATGACAATTAGGTTATTTTATTTGTATTTTAATGAAATTACAGAGACAGTAGATTTATTCTCAAACCTAGTGAGCATCAATAGAAGTATCAATTAAAAATTGACCATTTTCCCCATTATGTGTGTGTGTGCTATATGTTTGTTTATGTTAATAGCAATATGTTAGCTTAGCATCATGTTAAAATCAAACTCTTTTTTTAAATTAAGGATCCCATGATGCTATTTCTGTGGCCCACAAAGTTGCTGCCTATTTTAAGCATACTATAAAATCACATGAGTGTGCTATGTATTTTTATGCCTATTAGAGCATCATGCCATTAGCTCAGCAACATGCTAATATCAAGCTCAAATGTAAGTTGAGTCTTCTGTTATGGTATTTGTGTCACTGGCTCTGTAGAGACTAACATGACATTTAAAGGGGTCATATGATGCGATTTCAAGTTTTCCTTTCTCTTTGGAGTGTTACAAGCTCTTGGTGCATAAAGAAGATCTGTAAAGTTGCAAAGACTAAAGTCTCAAATCCAAAGAGATATTCTTTATAAAAGTTAAGAGTCAACCACGCCTACCTAAAACGGCTCTTTCTAACACGCCCCCACATGTCTACGTCACTATGTGGAAATATTAGCATAATGCCGCCCAAATGTGCACGCAAAGAAAGAAGGCGTGGTTTCAGGAACAGCAGTAGTGTTGATGCAGCCATGTCAGGGAGACG